TTTTCACTTCATGCTACAGAAACTGGGATAAGCTCCGGCCTGGTGGGCCACTTGGCCTGTATGCAGACTTTCCCTTTTACCTTTTTATTCCCTATGGAGCCACAGACTTTGTTTTAATGATTTTAACTCTGGAATGCTTATCAGTGTACTGTTTCTTTCAGGTACTGTGGCATCTTGATGTGTTTAGAAGAAGCTTCAGGGAGATCAAGGGTCATTACTGCATGGGACAGTCATGTATATTCTGTGCACTGGATTTCATTTTCAAGCAGTTTCAGTACAGTAGTAATGATGCTTTACCTCCAGATGGACTGAGAGTTGCCCTGGCTGTCGCGTTTAAGGTTAGCATAATTGAATATACTCACTGTTATTACGTATACTGTAAACTGTCGCTTATAAGCCCTGGGCTTATATACAACTTCGTAATGGCCTTCCATTTTGGATGGGCTTACAAACGGAAAGGCTTATTTCTGGGGAGGCTTATAAGCGGAATAAGACAAACAGTTCAAAATAAGCTAAAGCAGTGTTGACGGAAATATGATTTTTGTATTAATACTGTTTTTGATTAAGCTTTAACACATCACAATAAATCAAATTTATTGCATTTTAAACTAGAGGGGGCTTATATCCGTAAATAATATTTTGTTTACAAGTAGGTGGGCCTATGAACCAAAGGGGCTTATAAGTGGGAGGGCTTTTAAGCGGCAGGTTACAGTATACCCTCCAGATAAATATTTGTTACTTCTTGATTACTGGTAACCATTCTTCCCTTATGATCTCATTTCTTAACTGGACAGGCTAGGGTTAGTCCAGTTCATATTCATTGAAGGCTCTTTTTTGTCTGTCACCGACCACTCCCATGCTTCCAATATTGGCTCATGTAATGTCCAGAAGCTGGAATACATGGCAACTGGACTTTAAAGTGCTTAATTTTGAATTATATTTTATGAATTTTGTGTTGCTTGAGTAAGATAGCAGTTATTTCTTAAGGTGATTCCCTAGTAAAAGAACCTGCCATAGATTTCTGATGAAACTTGGTATGCTGTTGTTACAGGACAAGGAGGTATTGAAAACATAATAAAAAGAGGGGGTCACCAGGCTTGTTTTCATGCCACAATGCTGACAAATATGGTTATTTAGGTGACTTTTGGTAATCTCCATGCGCAGCAAATAAGCTCGATTATTTTTCAATGCAGCGTGTTATNTACCGGCGAACTTAATGCTGGGGGTAACCCTGCGATGGACTAGCATTCCATCCAGTGGGGAGAAGAAATACTCCTTTTCACTTCATGCTACAGAAACTGGGATAAGCTCCGGCCTGGTGGGCCACTTGGCCTGTATGCAGACTTTCCCTTTTACCTTTTTATTCCCTATGGAGCCACAGACTTTGTTTTAATGATTTTAACTCTGGAATGCTTATCAGTGTACTGTTTCTTTCAGGTACTGTGGCATCTTGATGTGTTTAGAAGAAGCTTCAGGGAGATCAAGGGTCATTACTGCATGGGACAGTCATGTATATTCTGTGCACTGGATTTCATTTTCAAGCAGTTTCAGTACAGTAGTAATGATGCTTTACCTCCAGATGGACTGAGAGTTGCCCTGGCTGTCGCATTTAAGGTTAGCATAATTGAATATACTCACTGTTTTTACGTATACTGTAAACTGTTGCTTATAAGCCCTGGGCTTATATACAACTTCGTAATGGTCCTCTCCGGTTTTGGATGGGCTGACAAATGGAAAGGCTTATTTCTGGGGAGAAAGGAGTTGAAAGGAACATTTATTTCACTATCAAGTTTAGTTTGAGGGAAATCTCTTAGGTTTTGTATGCGCACGCACTCATGTGCGCACGCTAATGACGTGAAAATCGTGCATGGTAGGAATGTGCAATGCAATACTAAGTAATCACCTAAACTGATGCTGAGTACAACTGTGACATGACTCAGCCTTGACAAGAACTAAGAAGTGATCTCTTGTAGTAATTCTCCCTACTAGTTCTATTAGAAATATATGAGAAAGACTAAAGAGAACTTGCATTGTTTGCCTGACAGAACCAGCACAGATTTCAACTGGGAGACATGGATGATGCTGCAGAGTGCTTTGTAAGTATTAGAATTTCTTTTTGTAGATTCCCATTACCATTAATTAAAGTTGGTGTTCCAAAAGGTTTACTTATTAACTAGCTTTTGAAGGAGACAGACCCCATCATTAAGCCACTATTAAATGGATAATTATTTTCAGATCTGTTTGATGCTGAAGGGCAACTATTTTGTACAGAGTTTTAGGTGTAGTGTTTTTCTTACAAATGATTTTTTCTGGTTCTTCCTTTAGGAGAATATCCTGAGTCATATGCATACCCTTGTTGCCAAGAATGAACATGACGATGCCTGCACTGCCAAGCACTGTATATCACACCAGAAGTTTGCTATGCAAATTATAGAGCAGGTATATTTGGATGCACGTGAAGTATTTTCCATCTTGATCATTGTAAAATTAACAAATGGTAAATGCCAAAGTGTACACTATTGAGTTATGGATGCACGCGGGAGGTTGCTGAGTGCGAAAGAAGTGTAAGAGAGGCACCAAAGCAAATAATCAATTTACTTGTTTGTTTGTTTTTTACAGACAATATGTCAGTGCGGTGAACAGTCAGAGCCTCTTCCATTCTTCCAGCTTGTGCATTATGTTTCTGCCTCTGCACTGTGGTATGTTGATATTCTGTTGTGAAACAGCAGCTATGATGTTAGAAGTTACTTATGTTAATTCTTACATGCTTGTAAATAGCCAACTGGTCTGTCTCCCACCATTTGATATTCTTAAGCCTGTATCAACTAAGGCTTGGTTGATATATGTGGTTTGTTCACTTTAAGTGGCATGCCTGTGAACTAGCTATTGGTAGTTGTAGCTAAGAGCATTGACCACTTTATACAACAACATTTGAAAATATTTTTTAAACTTTTTTTCACGTAAGGAGAACTACCAGGGCTGTTAGTGGAAGTATTAGGTCACATCAATACAGTTAATATGGCGTAAAATTTTTTATTCTTACCACTATACTGTAAAGACAATGCCTCAGGTCAAAAGGGGGTATCTTTGTGAGAAAGAAACAAAACAAATGATCAAAGACAGGACTTAGAGACTCATCTCAAAGAATTCTCAGATTTCCAGATCTGATTTAGAGCATTTCTGCAACCCTTGATTTTTTAGGTACCATTCACTTACTACCCCTTGTGTCTAACTGGTATTTTATATCCATGGTTGGAGAAGGGCACTGTGAGAGAAAGGCTTGTTAACTATGAACACAACACTGTCAGTGATACTCGCCAGTTCACCAACCTGGGCCATTTTAATCAAGAGTCACTTCCCAATTTATTATGCTATCACACCTCCTATTTGTTTATAATGACTTTCGTATTCACGGTCTAAAGATTCACAGTAACGCTGACTGTTTTGTTCCAGTGCTAAGGCAAGGAGTCTGAAGGGATGGGATAACACTCGCCCAATTGAAAATCAGTTTGGAGTACTGTTGCGCAGAGCAGGACAGGACACGAGGGAATGTCAAGTTAGTCACTGACCAATTCAGACACTGACACAGATTATGCTGTGACCAATTAGGATGGTTGACCAAAACCACAGAGATGATCACCATAAGCAGGGGTTTCATTAAAAGCTGGGCACTGGGCAAACTGACCAGCTATGAAGATGATTTTGCCTGCCTTGTTTGACCATCTACCAGACAGTTTTTTGTATAAAGAAGTTCAGTTCAGAAACTTTTGCCTTCCTGTGAAAACCAGTTGTCCTCCTACTGAGAACATTAATGAAACTCCTGCCACAAGCTTTGTGATGTATTCATCTTACATCTACTGGCCAATTGTTTTTCCTTTGTGACACACAAAAGTAGACAACTAATTCTGCCGTTCTGGCACTTTTCTAATATATTGCCAGTGATTAACAATATTTCAATCTGTTATTTTTCCAGAGTCCAGACTGTAATGATAGAGTTCAAGTGCAACGTTTGCTACTGAACTGTCCTGATATTGGTAAGCGTAGAGTGCTTTTAATACATGAAGCCTGGTTTAATTTTATAAAGTCAAGCAATTTGAAATTAATTACTTGTTATTCATTATTCATATATTGATCAATCAATGAATCAGAAATAAAAATTCTAATAAATTTTTTACGTGCATCTATTGCAGTAAGTGTTGGCCTAATCTGGGATTCAGAGTCTCCAGATGCAGAACATATAGCAGATNCTGCACTGCCAAGCACTGTATATCACACCAGAAGTTTGCTATGCAAATTATCGAGCAGGTATATTTGGATACACGGGAAGTATTTTCCATCCTGATCATTGTAAAATAACAAATGGTAAATGCCATAGTGTCCACTATTGAGCAATGGATGCATGTGGGAGGTTGTTAAGCACGAAAGAAGTGTAAGAGTGGCACCAAAACTAATAGTCAATTTACTGTTTGTTGTTTTTTTTTACAGACAATATGTCAGTGCGGCGAACAGTCAGAGCCTCTTCCATTCTTCCAGCTTGTGCATTATGTTTCTGCCTCAGCACTGTGGTATGTTCACTTGATATTCTGTTGTGAAACACCAGCTGTGATGTTAGAAGTTTTTTAAGAAATTGGGGCCCCCTGTATAAAGGAAGTTGTAATTGGCATCTCCCTTTATTCTGCGGTAGGTGCTGCACCGGGGCAGCCACCTGCTTCAAATCTTATTGAAAGCGCTGTTGATGTACCACTTAACTTTCAATACTTATGTTAATACTTAAAACATGCTTGTAAATAGCCAACTGGTCTGTCTCCCAACATTTGATATTCTTAAGCCTATTATGCTTAATTGATATATATATATATATTTTTCACTTTAAGTGGCACGCCTGTGAACTAGCTAGTTGTAGCTAAGAGCTTTGACCACTTTAAACAACAACATTTGAACATTTTTTTGAACATTGTTGTGAACATTTTTTTGAACATTTTTTGGGGTAAGGGAAACTACCAGGGCAGCTAGTGGAAGTACTAGATCACATCAATACGTTTACTACAACTGTTAGTACGGCAAAAAAATTGTTATTCTTACCACTACATTTTAAAGACAATACCTCAGGTCAAAAGGGGGTATCTTTGTGACAAAGAAACAAAACAAATGATCAAAGATGGTACTTAGAGACTAATCACAAAGAATTCTCAGATTTCCAGATCTGATTTAAAACATTTCTGAGACCCTTGATTTTTTAGGTACCATTCACTACCCCTTGTTTCTAACTGGTATTTTATATCCATGGGTAAAGAAAGGCACTGTGAGAGTAAGGCATCTTAACTATGAACACAACACTGTCAGTGATGCTCGCTAGTTCACCAACCTGGGCCATTTTTAATCAAGAGTCACTTCCCAATCTATTATGCTATCACACCTCCTATTTGCTTATAATGACTTTCGTATTCATGGTCTAAAGATTCACAGTAACGCTGACTGTTTTGTTCCAGTGCTAAGGCAAGGAGTCTGAAGGGATGGGATAACACTCGCCCAATTGAAAATCAGTTTGGAGTACTGTTGCGCAGAGCAGGACAGGACACGAGGGAATGTCAAGTTAGTCACTGACCAATTCAGACACTGACACAGATTATGCTGTGACCAATTAGGATGGTTGACCAAAACCACAGAGATGATCACCATAAGCAGGGGTTTCATTAAAAGCTGGGCACTGGGCAAACTGACCAGCTATGAAGATGATTTTGCCTGCCTTGTTTGACCATCTACCAGACAGTTTTTTGTATAAAGAAGTTCAGTTCAGAAACTTTTGCCTTCCTGTGAAAACCAGTTGTCCTCCTACTGAGAACATTAATGAAACTCCTGCCACAAGCTTTGTGATGTATTCATCTTACATCTACTGGCCAATTGTTTTTCCTTTGTGACACACAAAAGTAGACAACTAATTCTGCCGTTCTGGCACTTTTCTAATATATTGCCAGTGATTAACAATATTTCAATCTGTTATTTTTCCAGAGTCCAGACTGTAATGATAGAGTTCAAGTGCAACGTTTGCTACTGAACTGTCCTGATATTGGTAAGCGTAGAGTGCTTTTAATACATGAAGCCTGGTTTAATTTTATAAAGTCAAGCAATTTGAAATTAATTACTTGTTATTCATTATTCATATATTGATCAATCAATGAATCAGAAATAAAAATTCTAATAAATTTTTTACGTGCATCTATTGCAGTAAGTGTTGGCCTAATCTGGGATTCAGAGTCTCCAGATGCAGAACATATAGCAGATGTGTTACAGTGCATTGGAACAACTCTCAAGCTTTCTGATGTAAGGAATAATACTCTACATAATGCATCTCTCTCACTTATTTGCCATTGTGTAGATCAGTTACTGAATGTTTGGGTAACACATTTGTAACAGTATGTTTATTCAAGCATATGTTTACACTACTTTTCGACACTTTTGTGTTACAAGCTGATGGGGATGGAAACTTTATTTTGATAATCTGGTTATATTTTAAGTGGTTATACATGGAGATCTTTTTCTTGCAGTTGTATCATCAAGTTTATGACGAGAGGGCCAAGGATGCTTGTTTACAGCTGGTTGGCATAGTAACATATTACGGCAAGCACTACTCAACATTCTTTTTTCATAGCAAACTACGGACATGGATTTATTTTGATGATGCCCGTGTCAAAGAGGTGAGTAATCCTTTCACTTCAAGGAGTGATATTTATTAAAACTTCTCTTTAGTATATATTTGTAACAAAGTAAGTGGCCAGGTTTTGATGGTTGATGGTGTGATCATCTTGATAGGTTATCTTGCAATTGGAATTTAGCTTGGCGCAAATGGGTAATCACCTGCTTTGGAGAGAAACTCATAGTTCTAGAGTACATTTGATTGAACCTTTTGCAGAATAAAAATAAATGAAATGATCCCAAATGTAGGTTTGACTGAGTGGCTAAATCCAGTTCAAGAATATTCAGTGCCCAAGGGAGTAGTCTACTCACGTTGCAGCCTTTACAAAGTAACAGGTAGAAATGGTGGCTTCTTGCAGTGAAAATAACCTTCAAAAAATCACTTGTCACCCCGGTGTGGGCAGCAGTTTAAAATCGATATTGTAAGGCTACGTAAGATCAATAAACCTAATTTAAATGTTCAGTTTTTTCTTTGATTAGTGCCTTAGTGGAAGTAGGTACTTACAACTGAACTGGTCCTGGTATAAACTATAAAATAAACTTTATACTGTAGAGCAGGAAACAGGTCTGCAAACAGAAATGGCATCCGGAAGATGAGACTGACATACAAAGTTTCCCTTTAACTTTAGATTGGATCTGATTGGATGTTAATGATGGAGAAGTGTCGTCGCTGTCACTATCAGCCTCTGCTGCTGCTCTATGCTAACCCTCAAGGCACCCCCGTAAATGCTGACTCTGGGCCTAAAANTATGTATGTATGTATGTCTGTCTGTCTGTCTGTCTGTCTGTCTGTCTGTCTGTATGTATGTATGTATGTATGAGACTGACATACAATGTTTCCCTTTAACTTCAGATTGGATCTGATTGGATGTTAATGATGGAGAAGTGTCGTCGCTGTCACTATCAGCCTCTGCTGCTGCTCTATGCAAACCCTCAAGGCACCCCCGTAAATGCTGACTCTGGGCCTAAAAAGAGAATTTGCGTCAATGGCACTGCTCATGAAGAATCCACTGAAGGAAACCAATCGAGTAAACGACTTGGTACCGAAAGAGGTGTAGGTGATGGTGTCAGTGATAATGAAAAGAGCCCTGTGACATCCAAAAAATCCAAATCTCGGTATAAACTGAAAAAAGAGGAGAAGAGATCACCTTTGAACTCCAAGAAAAGCCTCTCCTCTGGAGATTTGACCGCTCCCAACAAGCAGCTGTCACGCTCACCAAGTAATGCTTCAGACTCTGCTGCTAGCAGCCCCAGCAAGGAGAAGCATCGGCCGAGCTTCAGGCGGATAGGAAATGCTATTATGAATGCCGTAAACCCTGCCCTGGCTGTATCCCACTTGAAGCAAAATAAGAAGAAGAGATCTGAGAAATCCAGGCGCTCGTCAACAGGATCCAGTGAGTCCAGTGGCGACCACGATCTTATAGATTTTAGGTAAGTTTAATTGTGCACTGAAGGATGCGGTAGAGTGTCAGCATAACTGAAGCAACTTTGCGGTTGTATTTAACCCTTTGGTCGTCAATGGTTGATCACTGAAAAACAGCATCATGAAATTTTTGAATCCATTTTTATAGTGCAGTGTAGGGCACCGCGCTGTTGCCATATGTCCAAGTTTTTGATAACTTTTGACAACTTTCTGACATATTTTTGACAAGTTTCTTACAGCCTACAAGTAAGCTCAGGCTCTTTTGGAGCAGGGTGTCCAAGAGAGGTTGCTCGCATGCTAACTTCTAAGTTATGTTGCCAATGAAAATGCAGTGGGTGAGGGTCAGGCTGAATTGAAATTTGTCTGAAAGCGATTATAGAACTTGACAACTCTGCCTGTCTCAGTTCTTGCTAGTGCTTTCGTTGGCCAGTTTCAGCAGAAGCCATCAGAAAGCTTCCAGAAAGATGCCACGAATCAGTGGTCAATATAAAACCTTGTTAACTGGCAATGGTACAGTGCGCAGCACTGTATTGTGTAAGACCCTTATATTACCAAAGTTAATTGCTATTGCTAGCAAGTTTATGCCGCCAATGTGGACTAAAACGTTGACTTTGGTTGCAAAACGGTTAACCAACTTAAAGTGTAATTGCATCGATGTCTTTTCAGTTCCAAGAATGAAGATGCCAAAATGGAGATCATGAGACTGTATGAACAATCTAAAGCCATGAATGCTGCTCAGGTCAAAGCAGCAAATAACGACAGTGGGATAAGCTCTACACCATCATCTGCTGGTGGTTCCGTCAGCTCAACAGACACTAACCATGGAGGAAGTGAAGAGGACCTAATTAATTTCAATCAGTCATGGCGACATTCTAAATACGACAACTGGCCTCCAGGTGAGTATTCAAAAGTTTCACAATTTCAAGCAGCAGCAGCAGGTAGTTCAATTGTGATACTTGTTTACCAATATAATGCATTGACTCCTACGAGGGCAGACTGTTGAAGTTTCAAGCTGAAAAAGGTATTCATATTTCACGTTGAGAAATATTGCTAAGCAAATTGCGTTGGGTGTCCGGAAAACCCGAATAGCGAATAGCGAATAGNAACGTTACCGGTCTAGATGCCGGTCTCAATGCGAAAATCTAGACCGCTTTGAATACCGATTTCAGCCAATCAAATTCGTGAATTCGGTAGTTCCCAACCCTTGTGAGACACAGCCATATAATAAACTGGGTTAGTGATCGATCATTTTGCTTTATTTCAGCTTATTTCCGATGTGTCACAGAGGAGCATGGTGTGGACTTGAACACTAAGAACTACGCTCACATGAAGCGAACTACATGCCAGGCTCGAACAAGGAACCTACGTCTCTTGGTCCAGTCCAGTTCGTCCTCGGACAATGGAAATTCGTCTGTCAGGTATGTAAATTTAACTCATTTTCCCCTTTTTTTGCCTCAGTATTATGATTCTATCTTCTGTCCAGTTGGTGTTAGTCCCAGTAGACCGCTTCAATGCCCCACCGCTCCCTTATACGAGCGCGCACATGCAACCACCAGTGCAGAGGGTTCAAAGCACCAACTCCCAATCAAACATTGTTCAAAAAAGGACATTGTGAAAAAGAGAACTGCGTTTCAATGCGTATGCCTGATTACAAGGTACAGTTGCTATTCACGTCTTTATAAAGACGAAGCATTTTAACTTGAATTATTAAAAATTCCGCGCTCTGCGTTCTCCAGTAAACGCCCTCCCGGGGTTTACGTCCTCCCTGGGATATAAGCTGCGTGGATATAACTCTTTCGGATTAAGCCCCCTCAAGATCACTCGTGAAGTTTTGTAAGCCGAGGACGTTATTTGACTTTATTTTGTCAAGTCTGTTTGGAGCGAATCACTGTCTGTTTAGGTCGAAACACTGCCAAGGTACCAATACCAATTCCATTCATTTTATTTTCAGTTTTTCAAAGCAAAAAGAGGAAGAGCTACTGCGGCAGCAGAGACAAAGAGACCATCTGATTATCAACCAGCAACAGCAACAAGCGCCGCCATCATACGTAAGTAATCAGTGGTCACACTCATGGTCTTTTCCTACCTTGTGTAACCATTCTTAAAGTGTCTACGTCAAGTGTTTCGTTCGTAATCTAGATTCGGTTTCAGATTTTTATTATTCTGCGCTATTTACATATTTTTGCACTGTCTTGTTAAGAAATAGAAAACATTTTCCGCATTTCTATGGTGTTGAAGAAACACGAGTGAACGTGAGGCCACGAGTGGACGCGCTGAACAAAGGTGAAGGTCCACTGTATCCATGTTTATACATTTCAGTGCGTGTAGCAGGCGAGAGCTAAGAGGTCTCTTCGTTTTCTGTGCGTGTCATAATGCGGAAACGCTTTGTACGCAGGCTAAACGAATGCAAAATGGTATCTTGATGTGATTTATATGTACCGAAAATTGAACCCAGAGTTATTGCAAATTCAGCTCTAATTTCAGGGTCACAGCAGTTAAACTGTTTCTTTTTTCTTGGCAGATGTCCGTTCAACGAAGGGACCGGCTCGTGAAGGATTCCCAAGGCCCGCAAGTTTTGGCCCGCAGGGTCCAGGAAGTGCCTGTTCACTCAAGCAGAGTGGCACACGTGAATTCAGAACATAACCATAAAAATGGTTGGGAAGAACAATACGCCTCCACCCTACCCCTGAAAGTTAAACCCACCGTGTATTCAAGTGGCCATTACGTAAGTAAACCACAACCGCACAAATCCGCCTCCAGTAGGGTAGTGTCGGGAGTTTGCACGCAGCAGATCAAACCGGACTCTATGTGCTACAGCCCTGTTCATTACGACCGAGAAAACGAAATCGCCGCCAGGATTCAAAACTGTAATATACGCGCTCCGAGTCCGGACCCGAGCGCGGATTACACCACAGTCATCACTGTCGGCGAAAGCAGGCCGAAGATTTCCGAAAACCGCCGACCACCGCCGCCGACGAGACGCGTGTCGAGTTCGATTTACATTTCACCCTCAAATCCGTCCAATTCTAGAACTGCTTCGGCCGATTCTTACGACGCGACGGTTTATAGAAGTAACGAAAGTCCAAACCCAGCGACTATCGCAATAAATCGGTCGAGACCCAAGGTTTTTTACGCAGGAAATTCAGTGGTGAACTCTCAGTCATCAATCCGCGATCGCCCTCCCTCCCCCGCGCGATCAATGGATGAGTTAGACTATGTACGTCCAACCCGCAGTGGTTATGGTCCGCGGCCTGTTAATTGCGTGCCACCCCCTCCATATAAGCCGTTACACCAGCGTGAACATCTCAAGAGTTTTTCAACGTCGACGTTGTCCAAACCTTGGCATCACTCGGGCTCGGCCGAAGAATCTTCCGCGTCCAATGCTCGTGATCTTCGGCAAGTTTCGGCGCGGATTATCACGGATCGGCCGGTTTGCGAAAGATGCCGATGTGTGCCGATTGATAGACGACAACGATTGTGTGCCGGCTGTGAGCAAGAGCTGTATCAGATACATTCCAACAGTGGTAGACTTTATTGAGGCTTGATGTCACCTGGAGGGAATGGTTAGGTAGTTCGAGTAAACAGTTATTTCCCTTCTCGCTGTCTACTCCATAAAGGCTTTTGTTGTATTTCCGTACAAGTGCGCGTGGTTTGTATTTGCATTACGCGCGTGGTAAATACAAGGCACGTGCTGCATGATTGGATATAGACAAGAGGAAGCGCCTTTTTCACATCGCTCCCCAAGTGCCTGTCCCTCTATGATCCGCCCAGGAGCCTCTGCGGGGAAGAAATCTTCGCCCGAAAAACGTCCGAAATTCAACCTGAAGAATTTCCACACTGGCTTTTACTTGTGCGCAAATCCACATGAGTGTTGAATTTTACTGGTCGAATTTCAAACTTGCCGCATTGTGGCTATATTTAAAATGCTAACCAGTTTAAACTGTATTTATATCTAACCCTTAAACAGGGTTCGTATTGCTCTTGGAATTCCTGTTAAAAGTTCTAGACTGTTACAGTTTGGCTCTAGAGATCGGGACAACTTTTTGAAAATTCAATTTTTTCTGTCACTCCTCAAGGAAAACTCATGGTATTTTATAGTTACCTTGAGAAAACAAGAGAATTGCTGAAATGACCTTCTCCTTGAACATCAAGTCTGTTGCTCGAAAAGAATTATATTTTTTTAAACATTTACACCATAACATTTACCCTGGAAACTCGCGGAATTTCATCTCTCTGAGTAGTACGAACCCTGTTAAACGTCCAGCAGCAATGCATGAGATCAGTGTATAGATTCTCCTTATCTTTCTATAGTGAATTTTGGTGCAAAGGCTAGGAGAATAAAGTACCTGGTCACCGTAGAGAGAAACAATTAGTGACTCGAGAGGGAAAATTGTAGGAAATGTTTGTAATAATTATATACAATCAGGGTTGATCCTGGTTGTAAAAAGTTAAAAAGTGGTGTGTATATGTATTATATTGAAGAGTTACCTATTTTTATTTGATTACACGAGGATTATTTTAATTATGTTTTTTCTTGTTCGAAATCTTTCTGTTTATAGGTCTAAAACGATAAGTGTTGGATTCTCGATCAAGTTAATGTGTTTTTGTGAAATACTATAATACCTCTGGTAACAGTTCAGTAACATTTTTTGGAAGTGCACCGTTTCTGAAACACAGTTTTCTATGTCGATGTTGGTTACGAACGCAACAAGTTTCAGTCGTTATGACTGAGTAGCTAGTGCGTTATATCTCGTAACCCTGAGCAAGCTCTCCTGGGAGTTGAGGGTGTCTGTTTTCCCCCAGCCCTACCCCTAGAGAGCTTGCTAACCCCGTTAGCTACACGTTATAGAGCGGTTTTGTCTTGAGTGTCGAAAAGTAATAGGTTTTGAACTGCTAGGCAACACGATTGGCTTAAAAAACTCGCGCTACTTTTTCATCCAATCAGAAGTAAAATCAAGAGAAGTTGTGACTCGTTCGCACACGTTTTCCCGCGCTTCGCGTCGTCTACATGTATTTACTTCAGCTTTTGATTGGTTAATTGGATTTTGTGTCCTTTGTGATGATTGGCTTAGCCTGCATAGCAAACGTACCCGTATGCGAAGAGCATTCTGGCTGCGCGCAACTGGGAGCGAGAGCAAAACAATTGCCAATTTGCGCGCGGCCAAAATGCGCAAAGGCTCTTCATACGGGAAGGCTTGCTATGATTGGCCAGAGTGATTGGATTGGTTTTGGCTTTACGACACTCAAATTGAAAACTGCTCTATACCTCGAGATTCGTAACCTAGGTGTGGCACTGAAATAACGCGACTTTACATTTGAAATTCATGGGGACTTCTCACTGAGAAGATTCATATGAAGATTTGGCTCAAATGGTGGTCTATTTGTCTTACAGCCGTGGTCAACTCTTTGTCAATACTAAGTATTTCAGTCAAAACGTCCCCCATAATTGTGTACTGCATGACGTTAATTCTCTGTATATATACGGTATCCAGCTTAGACATGTGATACCCGGGTTCGTATTTACCTGGCGGTAAATAATGTACAATTGAACGTTCTCGCCATTGAGACAACAGAGTAGGTGTTAGCACCATAGCAAACCATTTGAAATATGTAAGAATAAAATACAGGGTTTTGTAAAAAGATTTTACGTCTGATTCTTTGCCTTCAAACCACTGCGGTTTGAATAAATATATGTTGTTGTCCTGTCCTCTTGCTAAATTCCTTACCAACTGGAGTAGACTGCAAGCAGTCTGTCTCTCTTTTGCCCGAAGATTCCGCGGGGAGAGAGCGACAACGAATGAGCAGAGGCGCGCGGTGATCGATCGATCGAGAGCGCGAGCCGCGAGTGGCGCGCACGTGCGTTGGTGGTCTTCGACGCCCGCGAAGACGTCTTTCGACGGTTCGAGGCGAACCCGCTTCTGTTCGTTTGCATTCTTCCCCGCGGATTTTCAAACAAAAGAGACTGCTGGCAGGCTACAACTGGAGGAACCCGACAGTTAATCCCTTTACATATTAAGATTTTTCATTGGCAAAGATCCTCCAAATTAGCCTCTCTTGCTCTATTGTGCAACATTAAAAATTGTGATAATTTCATTTATGGTTATATAGTTGAAAGAAATACTTTAATTCGACTTCATTACATCTGTTGAATTGCAACACTATGTACATTAATTTGAAAGAATTTTAAAATGTCTTTTATGTGAAGAAAACTGAAACATTTTCTACTTGTGTAGAATTCTGCCTGAAATGGTTTGTTTCTTAGCAACGACTAAGACAAGACTTCCCGGATTACAGCTTACGTCATTCACTGAAATCGTTTCACGCTCTGACACTAAGCGCCACGGTTGTCTTGACAGTCTGTTAAGTTAAGCGTTAAGTTCTTGTGCATTAATCTTGAAACATTTCCGCGTCAAACAACTTTTGCGTACAGCCGCTGTGAACTCGCGCCTCATCTCAGAGATACAGATATGAATGTGTACAGCGGCATTTCCTGATAGTCCAACACGTGGTATGTAAGTGTGTTTAAACCGTCCATATCAATGGACGCTTCGCTTCTACGAAGTTCATCAAACCTGCACGAAAATAATGGAAAGTAACATAACTAATCGCTCAGTTACAAACGGACGAGAGTGGGTCTCCAATGTTATCGTGACGAGATCAAGAAACTACGCGCGCTCAAACTCGTGACTTCAGTAAGCCACATGACATAACCTACATTTCTTTGAGGAGGCGAATCTTTGCTGACGTCATTGTTTACATTTTTTCTCATTAACACACGACTTTACACAGAGAAGTCCTCACGCTAGACACGAATTGACTTCAAACATTTAAAAAGCTGGTTAAAGTGGTGAAATTTTTGGCTCTTTGGGTGTATATTCATGGAGGGATGCGTTTTCCAAAACTGCAAAATTGTCGGGTGGCAAAAGCGCTAATGAGCTGATACGTTCTTTGTAAAAATGTTGAGTTTTTTAAATTCAATACATCGAGCTCAGATTCCTTGAGACAGTCAATCGTACTATGCCATTTCAATTTTCAGAACTGATATTTTTGTAGCTCCGTCACAAACTGATTCACCTATGCTAATGAGGCAAATATTGGAAACAAAGATTCCCCTATAAGAACCTCGACTGACCAATCGTTCCTGGCGCGCTTCACTGCCTGAACCTTTTGTAAACTCAGCAGGTCGGCACACACGAGGGGAGGTGATGTGCACACTAGCCTCGTGGTGTGTAACCTAGTTCCCAGGTTCTCTCGACGGGGGGAGGTGAGAGACCCAGGAAACAAGGTTGCTTCGTGTGCAGGCATACGACGCGTGTTGGAGGGACAGTTTGCAAGAGCACTGCACGCGAGACAGTGAAGACTGAGGTCATTTTGCCCCTGCTTAATGACGCACGAATTCAAAACAGCTGAATTTCATGCAACAAGTCGCGGGGACAAAACTTCGTGCCCGCAACAGAACATTTTCGCGAAAACCGGCATGTCACAAGAGGAAAACTGTCGCTGCATCACATTCTCGCTTGGTTTTACGGTTCTCGATTGAAAACCGCTCTATGTCATGATAACGCGTGCTTACCTCATAGGATTTATGTCGTCTTCATGGTTTGAATGATGTAACATGGTATATCGACCAATCATCAGAGCTGGCCGAGTGAAGCTCAGGCGTCGCTCTGTGATCCTGTCATATATGAGAAACGAAATATCTTTACAGGGACAATGTAGCAACTTTCATGAGGTTTATTCCCGGAAAATTAAACAATAGAAGCAAACAACAGAAACAACGAACCCAGTCCTGGAGCAATATAGTTGCCTCATATAGACAGAGAGGCTGTTTAAAATTTAACAAATCGAATGTGGTCAAGCGTGGTCTGTACTCTTTTATATAATAACCCAAGTAATTCTCGCATTTTGATTGGTTCTCGCCTATGATCTATTAGAGGACAGACGCACGATTGACGTCATCATTTCAAAGTTTTTCCCTCTGTGTTTTGAAATGGCGGAAAGTTTTGAGAATTTAGATAATGTTTTACATGACTGGGCAAAAGATAAAGTACAAAAAAGTCTTGTCGAGACATTGAACAGGAACGAGAAGCATAGTCTAGCAGGAAGGAGAAAGATAAAGCCGTTTCTTTTTTAGAAAATGACTCGGAAAAAATACTCGAGCAGTCTCA